TCTTTTTATATATCTTTCCTATATAATTTCGTATATGATATTAATTTTTCATGAATTCATTGAAATTATATTGTACTATTTAATTGTATAACTTAGACAATCGAATAGATCGATGTTTTACGAATATACATTTCGAATATTTCATCATCTTTAAGGTTATTAACTAATAACGAAGTACTTCGCATTTGAATCAATCATTTGATTAATAACGAATGCATTTGGATATATGATACATATTTGACGTATTCGATTACTTCATTATGTATGACACTCTACATGAGTGAATGTAGTGAGATTTGTATCAGGGTTCGAGTAAAATCACGATTTGTGAGACACAGATATGTATTTTCAATTTGCGACGAGCTACGCTTGAAGCTTTATGATTACGTCATCATAAATATTTTCATTAATAGAGAGAACGTATCCGCGTTGTTTGCGCAAAGCCAGATGATTTCGAATATATTCAGCAAAGTTCAAATGATTTTAAATATTATACTGCGTTAAAATTACGCTAGAGGAATACTTCTTGTATTTTTTTTTTTAATATAAAAACGTTAAACTTTAATGAAGGAGTATATCCATATACAAGGTGAAGCATTTCAAACGATACACCTGAATAATATAATTATTATACACGGTTTGTGAAGAAAAAAAAAAGAACGCTCCGGATGAAATGAAATTAACGTAATCCTGTGTTAATAATTTTTCTTTAAATGGACTCTCGTAGAGTACATACGAACGTTCATTTCACATTTTTTTTTTCAAATAGAATAATATATTTTCAAACGTACTATTCGATCACGCGTTTAATGAGAACTATTGAAATTTTTATTTATTATTCCTTTTTGAAAATTTCATTTTACATCAAGGACTAGAATTTAAAATGAATTTTGTCGGACACATTTATTTTATTTTTTTTATCAACGCGATAGTAAATTTTATTTATAAATAATATAGCAAATGAATTTATTTAAGTACAGGCCTGTTTTAAATGGTTCACCTGGTATAATACATACTTAATAGTAAATAAGAAAAGTCATAGGTAGATATAATGGGTAAAAAGTTCATCACATTTGGAATTTAATTAGAAGGGAAAATGGATACCGGAGTAGTAGATCGTAAAGTAAATTGCTTTAATTAAAATCGATGCTGGTACGTTGGTAGTGGTACAACACAGTAATAGTAGTAGTGTTGACGGTTTCGGTGGTATTGGTGTAAGAGTTCAGAGTTACGCACGAATAAGGAAAAAGAACAA